AATCATCCGCATGTTGTAGCATTTTGATTTTCGTCTTTCAAATTAGGTATGTGTATCCTTTCTATTTTATTATTATTCCTTATTTTAATACTTAAGATTTCTATTGCTATTAGATATAATAGCATAGACAGTGGGCAACCTTGCCTCACTGATCTTTGTATTTCAAATTTTTCCGTGATTGCTCCGTTAACCTGTATTCTAGTAGTTATATTATTATACAGGATTTTGGTCCTATTCTGGAAATTATTTCCGAAACCATATTTCTCTAGTACTTTCTCTATATATAGTTATGTTCAATTCTGTCAATCGCTTTTTCCTGATCAACTAGCACCATAGCGCCAGTCTTGCTTTTTGTATGAAAATAATCCATTATGATTTTGATATTCAAAACATTATTTTGTATATCCTTACCTTCTGATCCACAAGTTTGATTTTCATTTACAATTATAGGCAAACAATTTTTAACCCTATTTGTTAAAATTATGCTTAATATTTTATAATCTATATTTAGGAGAGAGATGGGCCTCCAATTTTTGAGATCTTTCCTATCCCCTTTCCCCTTATATATTAACGTTATAACCCCTTCCCTCATTGAATTTGTCATTTTATTATTGGAAAAAAATATATTATTATATAAACGTTCTAGAATCGGCGATAACTCAATTTGGAATTTATGATAGAATTCCGCAGTGAGTCCATATATCCCCGGGGATTTCCCTAGCGATAACTGTCTAATTGCATCCTGGATTTCGTTTAATGAGATGAAATCACCACCTAAGTCTTTATTTACTGATGATATCATCTCACAATTTACGTCTTTTAGATTTTATAACCGTAAGTGACAGGAAGTGGTAACTTTAACATTCATTCCTAGTTTATACTTTTCTCAGCAAATATAGCATTGTACCCGAAGATATATTTTATTGAAACTGACGAGGAGAAACAGATTACCTACCCAAAAATATTACCCGTACTTTCTTAAATGCTAACATCATATTGGCGTTATATTAAAGATAAGATTGTGCCGAACTGACAGGTTTAATCCGTACTTGTTTATTACACGGGTATAGGATTTTGGTTTTGACGTGTGGACAGGTTAAAGGGATTCAGAGGTGTTCTCTACAAATTGGTAGCGATAAAGGTATTAGTTATGAAATCACAACCCCGAGGGTTGATTGCTTAGTTTTCCTCGCCTTCACGCGATTCAATCAAAATATTAGGTAAACATCACGTCTGGCATTTGGTCTCTTTCTATAATTTCAGAATTTCAGTCTGAGAAACATCTCTCTCTCTCTCTCTCTCTCTCTCTCTCTCTCTCTCTCTCTCTCTCTCTCTCTCTCTCTCTCTCTCTCTCTCTCTCTCTCTCTCTCTCTCTCTCTCTCTCTCTGCATGTATCGTCTACTTATCATTTGAAACTTAATACTGTTTTCTAGTCTTGAATAAGTACATATGCTTTTGAACATGACTAAGACAAATACACTCAGTCTGCAACCATCGTCTAGTGGGGCATTATGTAAAAAGTTCGAAGATGTTTATCAATAGTTAAACGTTTCGCAAAACAAAGGAATAATATTCCTTTATTTTTATTGGCGATTAATTAAATTCATCGCATTCACGCTTATTTGTAGTGATATTAATATATTTTTATAAGAGTGTGTCATTTTGCAAAATTTATCAGTAAACCTCTATCATTCCATATAATATGTTTTATCTTTTACAATAATGTTTGTTTTTTTTTGCATCCATTTAAACTTTTTGGGGTGAGGTTGTTGCTTCTCTCCACTTTTATGTTCTATCCCACTTATTAGCTCATAGTTTCTTACTAATTTTTCTCTTAAAATAATCATTAGTAGCATTATCGTCGCTCTCTAGATCATCTCTCTCTCTCTCTCTCTCTCTCTCTCTCTCTCTCTCTCTCTCTCTCTCTCTCTCTCTCTCTCTCTCTCTCTCTCTCTCTCTCTCTCTCTCTCTCTCTCTCTCTCTCTCTCTCAGTGGACCGCTCCGGTGGCCTAGTGGTTAATGCTTCCGCCTTGGAAGCGGGAGGTTGCGGGTTTGAACCCCGCTCGAGTCATACCAAAGATATATAAATGGTACTTACAGCTGCCTCGCTAGGCGCTCAGCATTAAGATGTTAGTGTTAGGACTGGTCGGCCTGGTGTCAGAATAAAGTGACTGAGTGGAACATCGTGCTACATGTCTGCGGCAGACATCGTGGCGATATGACTAGACAATTTAAACATACGTTAGAAATCCAAATCACCTACTCATACTCTCTCTGTAAGCATGAATCATTTGCATATTATTTAAACTGAGTTGTATTACTGAGATGGATAACGGACACGTGCCTTTGAAGAGGAATAACAATCACATATCCGAAGCCAATTTGTATTCTAGAGGGACATTATGTTAATAATTTGGGATTTTTCAAATAGTCATTGGTTTCCGAATTAAAAAGATGCAATGTATTTGTATTGATGAGCAAATAATCCTACGCATTCTTATAAATTTGTAATGAAATTCTCTGTTTTTTATAATATGTATTGCTCGCATAGTTCTGTATTATGTTTTATTCTTTTTAATTTGTATTTCATCCATTTCAAGGTTTTCTGTGGATGGTGTGGTGGTGTTTTTGTTGTTTCTCTCCACTTATATTTTCTATCCAACTTATTCGCTCATTCTTTGTTAATAGTGTTTTCTTCTTTTTTTTCTAAAACAAGCAAAACATGGATAGCATTATCACCGATATTTATAAATAATTTATCATCCAAGTTTTTTTTTAAAAGCGCCCATTAAATACCTAAATACATAAAAATCGAATGAAGAAACAACATTATTAGATTCTTGTTCAAGATATGTTGTTTCTTTTGCTTTTATACGTCGATATATTCAATAATTATAATAATAATGATGATGATGATAATAAAAAAATGATGATGATGATGACGATTATGATAATAATAATAATAATAATAATAATAATAATAATAATAATAATAATAATGATGATGATGATGATGATGATGATGATGATGATGATGATGATGATGATGATGATGATGATGATGATGATGATGATGATAATTTGTCACACAGTAAATCAGTTCAAATTACATGTGTGTAATAAAAATATGATAACCACGATACGTAACAGTCTTAGAATTAACACATTAATTCTAACTTGCATACATTTTGTTACATAAATATAAAAATATGAACATTATTGATAATATTATTGATTCTCTGGATAAAGTTTACAACTAGATGAACTAAAAAACTAGATGAACTAAAAAACTAAACGATAAACTATCAAAGGACATAAGCCTTTCTCAAATTATCATTCAAAGGACATATAACAGCAAAGCGAAACCGATAATCTGTATCTACAAAGGGGACAGCTTTGTTTGTCTGTGTCTATGTGTGAGAGTGTGTGTGGGAATGTTGTGTGGGGGGAAATGTGTGTGTATGTGTATGTGTGTGTGTGTGTGTTTATGTGTGTGTAAGTTTTTGATTTATGAACAAACAAACAAACAAATAATAATAATAACAATAATAATAATAATAATAATAATAATAATAATAATAATAATAATAATAATAATAATAATAATAATAATAATAATAATAATAATAATAATAATAATAATAATAATAATAATTTTGCACCTTGTACTTATTGTTTAATTATGATCATGATAGTATATGGACGGTAAACACGAGTAAAATTCAAGGGATGTTAAGTCAATTAAAATACAAGGTATGCCAAGCCAGACAGGCCATACATCTACTTTGCAATTATAATTATATACTCCATTCTTCCAACAGACCTGCAACTGCATCTTTCTCATCATACAATATTACCCATTTTGTTATACGGATGTGAAGATTGTAGATTTGAAAGTATTAAAATCACTGAAATTTTGCATATCGAAGTAATTTAAATCTACTTACATGCTTTGTTCAGAGCTAGGAAGACAGTCTACTGTTCTTTATTTCGTTTCAGTGCACAACAATCTAGAATTGTAAAAAAATAAAATATTGAGCTGATCTTGCAGATTAAACATTTTTCTACATTTGAATTCATGCAAATTGAAATTATCTAACCGGTATTATAATGGTAAATACTCTCTCTCTCTCTCTCTCTCTCTCTCTCTCTCTCTCTCTCTCTCTCTCTCTCTCTCTCACACACACACACACACACACACACACACACACACCACAAACACACACAAACACTTTTTCGATAACACAGTTTTCCTGGGTCTCCAACCATATTTACTTTCTTAAGGGCTAAAATGACGTTGTTTTGCGAGGCGTACGCGAAAAGTCTAAATGGGATTAATTTCGGGACCGGTTAAAGGTATTCTTAGGCTCACCTTTCCAGTTCGGTAGTATAAAATGGACGCCGACGTTGAAAAACAAAGTGGCACCCGAACGTTAATAATTGCTTCGTTTTCAGCTTATTTAAATGATTGAATCAAATCGTTGAATCCTTACAATCATTCAGTTTTACCTCCAGGGCAATAATAATTAAGGTCTAAAATAAACTGATTATTCCCAGAGCGAGGTTTAAATGGCTGCATGAGAATACGTCTATTTAATCTGAAGTGCTCCAGGGTACTAGCCCTAACTTAAGAGCCTATCTAACGCCAACGGTATTATTAATTAATTAAGGTATCATTAATTATTACATAATCTCTGGCAGCTTTATAGGCTACGGATATTCCAGGATACGTTTTGTTTCCTTTATCTGACAATTTATTACAGGTGACCTTAGAACCTGACCATAGGTTGAATAGTGACTATAACACTGCATTCAGTGATTCAAATCATGGTGCTACCAACAGTTGAGGAATATTTGAATCCAAAAGGAAGAGATATCTTCATAAAAGGTATTTATTTATTTATTTATTTATTTATTTATTTATTTATTTATTTATTTATTTATTTAGTCATACTTCTGTCATACTTAATTATGGGGTTAAGTTTTGTGAGTTTTATGATGCCAATGACATTTAAAGAAACTCATTTGTCATTTTGTACATATATTCTTGGTACATCCAAGCTTATTCCAAATGTATTCGCATATAACCAATTAGGAAGAATTGGTATTCAGATATAAACATGTTTTGAAATGAAATATTGCCAGGAGGAAGATATTCTAAAAAAATACTACAATTTACAGTTAAGAAGGGGGTGGGATTGATTGCTGGGCTAACTATGTTGTTAAAAAGCATATATTGACCACCAATATTATATATATATATATATATATATATATATATATATATATATATATATATATATATATATATATATATATATATATATATATATATATATAAAATATATATATATATATATATATATATATATATATAACATATATGATATATATAACATATATGGATAGATTAATTGACAGACATTACCGTGATAAAAAGGAACTATCGGCATCCCTAATGACATTGTTAATGCTGATGACTTCGGCATCCTTAATGACATTGTTAATGGTAACGACATCGTCATCGCTAATGACATCTTAAAAGAGTTTCGTGTGTACACATTTTAACATGTTGCAAAACAAAGGACGGGCATCATTCCATATTTGAATTCTCAATGCTTCTGATGACGTCTTAGAAAATATATTCACCAGAGAATTCATTCTGTTCTTTTTCGGTTATTTTGTAGATTGTGTATTCTTTCAGCGATAGAGGGTATACAATATATGTTTTCAATGTGTCCAAACACGTTCCATCAAATTCAGCTTAGCATTCTTCTAATTTCCACACAGGGTTATGCTGAAGAAAAAAAAAACTACATTAGTTTTAATTGATGACAGTAAAGTGGAATTAAAGATAATGATAATCATAAATTATATGCATTAAATTTTAGAAAGATAATTAAACAATAAGAGAAGTAATTAAACAAATGTTTTAATACTAGAAAGACCTTAATTTAAACAGGCATGTATATTTTATCTTTGTGTAATTAACCCTATTTTTACAGGGCAATTAAAAGTTGAGGTGTACCTGAACACTGGATTACTGACAGTTTATGGTGAGACTCTCTTTCTTTCTTTCTTTTCTTTCTTTCTTTCTTTCTTTCTTTCTTTCTTTCTTTCTTTCTTTCTTTCTTTCTTTCTTTCTTTCTTTCTTTCTTTCTTTCTTTCTCTCTCTCTCTCTCTCTCTCTCTCTCTCTCTCTCTCTCTCTCTCTCTCTCTCTCTCTCTCTCTCTCTCTCTCTCTCTCTCTCTCTCTCTCTCTCTCTCTCTCTCTCACACACACACACACACACACAGATGAATTTATAAACCATTAATATGTCGATCCTCTTAGTAACAACATCATGATTATCAAATCTTAAAATCATGTCATACTAAATGATTTCTATATAATTTAACAATTCTAATTTGTATATTTTATTACAGTATGATTTAGTAGTTTATAAGCTATGATTATAATGCACGTAATGGTAGATTTCTATGTTTTACACAATCAAATTCTGAGATTATTTCTTACCTTATTCAATTAAAGAATATTAAGAAATATATTTCATTTTTGAATTGTCTTATTAATGTAATAATATATCTTGCCGTTTGATTATTTATTTATTTATTTATTTATTTATTTATTTATTTATTTATTTATTTATTTATTTATTTATTTATTTATTTTGTTTCTCTATTTCTTTACTGCAGCAGTCAAAGCCAGACATATTGGATCCAAGAGGTGCACCCTGGTCAACTCATTTGTATTTGTATGTATGTATGTATGTATGTATGTATGTATGTATGTATGTATGTATGTATGTATGTATGTATGTATGTATGTATGTATGTATGTATGTATGTATGTATGTATGTATGTATGTATGTATGTATGTATGTATGTATGTATGTATGTATGTATGTATGCATTTATGTATGTATGTATGTATGTATGTATGTATGTATGTATGTATGTATGTATGTATGTATGTATGTATGTATGTATGTATGTATGTATGTATGTATGTATGTATGTATGTATGTATGCATGCATGCATGCATGCATGCATGCATGCATGCATGCATG